CCTTGACCATCCCAAAAGGATACTGAGGAAACGATATACTCGTTTATCAACAAAACAGGACAAAAAGCCAATACTGCCTACAGAAAACTCTTGAAATAACAGCCAATTACCCGTTATTCATTTGTATAGTATCTTTTAAGATGGGTATATATTCAATATCAAGTAACAGGTTGACTAGCGGTTATTTACAAGACAAACTGCAAGGTCATGAAAAGAGTGTCGATCCAGAGGTCTTTGAAATTCTACATTGATAAATTGAACAGAATAATAAGAAAGAGAACAAATTTTTTGAAAGCTTTTGCTGGTTAATATCCAAACAGGAAGGGGAGAGATTTTATTATTATTTCGTTGAATCTGAACAGGGGGAAAAAAATGCATTTGCTTAGGGGTGCAAATGCACTTCACTGAATATGCATATGGATAGGATAGGGTAAGTGAATGCAGCATGGTCTTGCAGATAAGTAACTTGTTTGAAATAAAATAATATTTTAAACCAGAGTTTGTTAACCTGTGTTTCGCGGGATCTGCAGTATGGGGTTGCCAAAAATTTAGCAATTTGTATATTTCTTTAACTTATAATAATTTTACAATTACCAAATATTTTTACATAATATACCTGAAAATAGATAAAGATAAAACAATACAGACAAAGAAAAAATGAAAACGTTTAGACGCATTTTTTTATTATAAAAATGTTCATTTTACTTTCACAGAATTAAAGTCAATGACCTAAAACTGCAATAGTACAGGGTGATTATAATTAAAGTTTAAGTTTCAAAACGCTATAAAAAAAGAACCACTGATGAAAATGATGTGAAATTTGAAAGGAATGTTATTGAAGAAGGCGGAAAGCGTATGGCAGAAGAAAAAAGTTAGTTTCAAAAGTTAGCAACAGATGGCGCGCAAGCAGACTAAGAAATGCTAGACGCCGGACCAAACGAGAAAAGAGAATGATTCCTAAACAACGGCTAAGGTGAAGTTACACATTAAAACGCATTGACAAATTAGAATTGTTGAATAATTTTATTGCATGACTGTACATATCACATCGAAAGGGACAAATCGGTTTCAAGAGTTTTGTGGCGACATACCGCATAAGAACCATTCATCAAAGAAGTTCGGGAACTGTCGCGAGACTGGCGCAAAACATGTTCAATATGGTGTCCACCGTTGTGTGGCAACAAGTTTAAAGCGACAAACAGCATGTTCCAAACGGATCGCAGTGTCTCCGGGGTGATGTTCAGAATGTGTTGCGGAAAATGCGTGCCTTTAATTCTGCTAAATTGCAATTGGAAGCACGGAACACAAACATCCTTCAGATATCCCCACAGCCAGAATCACACGGAGTAAGATCAGGCGATCGGGACGGCCAGGCTGTAGGGAATGACGGCTGATAATTCGAGCATTTCCGAAATGGCGCCTCAGCAGCTGCTTCACGGGATGTGCAATGTGCGGAGGAGCGCCATCTTGCATAAAAATGATTTCATCCACACATCCACGCTGTTGCAGAGCTGGAATCACGTGGTTGCGCAAAAAGAGACGGCATACCTCTGACCAGTGACGGTTTCCGGTAACAGGACCGGAAGCACCCGTCTGCTTGAAAAAATATGGTTGTAGGATGAATGATGCCGTAAAGCCACACCATACCAGGATGAAGTGGTACGGGGTGCGTTGCCAGTGGATTTTCTGTTGGCCCATATTCGACAATTCTGGGTATTCACGTATCCTGTCAGATGGGAAATGGGCTTCATCTGTCCACAAAAATTTTCCACGGCCATTAATTATCCACTTCCATGCGAGCCAGGAATTCTAACGTAAACGTCTCTCTAGCTGTCAACCTCCCGGCTGTCAGGTCAGACGGAAGCAACTCCTGCACATGCCAATTTTGTACGGATAGCATTACAGGATGTTTCGTACAATTTTCAGCACCGTGCTCGTAGGCCTGTCCAATGTTCGGCAATTCCTCGTGCACTGCACGGTTGCACACCACCGGCCGACCCCTCCTGTAATGCTGTGGCCACTTCTTCAACTACCGTCGAATGCACTCGTTTTCTCCCTCTACCAGATTGCACATCAAACGAACCTGTCGTTTCGAATTTTTGCATCATTTTCTTTAGACCTACGACACTCATTGGACCAACGCCTTCTTTTATACCCTTCAGTGTCCTGAAATTTTGCAGAGCTACTCTTGCACAATCATCATTCTTGTAATACAGCTTTACCAGCAGAGCGCGGTCCTGCAGTGAAACACCCATGGCGAACGTCTGAGACGCGAATTGAGGAACAGCCTGGTACCTGGCGGCTTTATAACACTGAAATTTAACTAACATTTTAATTTACGTCTTCTTCCGCTTGCAGCGCCATCTGTTGCTAAACTTTTTGAAACTAATTTTTTTCTTCTGCCATAACGATTTCCGCTTTCTTCAATAAAATTCCTTTCAATTTTGACGTCATTTTCATGAGTGGTTCTTTTTTTATAGCATTTTGAAACTTAAACTTTAATTATAATCACCCTGTATATTAAAGTAAAAGTGAAGAAACTGATAGTTTCACTCATGCTTGTGTCGGACTTGTGCAATACTTATGGGGTCCCATAAAATTTTCGTAAATATTAGGGGTTCCCATATCAAAAAGTTTAAGAAACCCTGTTTTAAACAATAAATGGATGATATATTGAATGCATAACTTGAAATGTATCAAACATATGACTGATGTGATCTTTCCATATACGACAAGTATCAAGTGTAATATAAAGTTATTAGACTAACTAGTTAGCTATAGGGTATTAATCTAAAACAGACACTTCAAGGCCATAATGACCTATTTCCAATCAGAACATATGTCATCACTGTAGAGAGGAGATTTTAGCCAATTAAAGGATTCAACCGTCTTTTATAGCAGTTGTTGCCACAGTTATATGGGAAATCAGAAGGAGAAATGACCTTGAAATGCCAATTCTGAAGTAATAGACTATAGCTAAGATCCACAGGCAAGATTAAGGTAATCAAACTAAGGCTTATTCAGGCAGAATTCATATACAAGACCACAATTTATGAAATGCCTGATATGTATATTGTTTAGATAGCACTTCTTTACAATAACCAAGGCATAATACCAAGGCTGACAAAACTTGGTATTATGCTGAAAAATATAGGAAGAAACTGCCTGCGTGAATTTAGAAATTGAACAGTTTACATCGGGTGGCAAAAAGACTAATGGCAGCCCTGCATAACAATGTACGTTTCCAGTTCTGTAAACTATTATTTTCACTTACATTACAAATTATACTAATATTTAATGTTAATTATTTCATTTAATATAATGCAGTTAAATTACCTTCATATACATACAGATACTAATAATTTAACTATCAAATATTTTTAGAAACTAAATACTGTATCTTGTACATAATGCAAATCATGAAAAATGACTCATTCATTTAACTTTATTGAATATTCACTCATACACTATAGTCTGAACTCTTTGCTAATTTATTTTTATATCTTTTACAGCACAGAGAGATACTGTTTTTATATAGTTCTGCAATCACATTAAACATGCACTTAAAACATACTTATAAGAGACTATCTTATTTTCAAATATACACTTTTTTACATCGAAAAATTTATTTGCTTTATAATACATTTCCATAGATTATCTATAATTCTATATAAGTTCTTAATTTAAATAGCTGCAGCTGTATAATGAAACTAGATAATGTAAAGATATTGAACATTCCTACATAAAGTGACTTAATTACTCAAAATAATATACTGAATAAAAACATATTTAAGCCAGTGCATATTTACAGTAAAATTATCAGCATTCATCATAAAATTATACTTAGTACAAAACAAATACTACAAACAAAACATTTATTCAAACTGCGCTTTTTATAAATGAACTGTACACAAACTATAGAGTTGTGTAACTACTTCATTCAAAGTCTAAACCTAAAAAATTATAGAAACAAAACATGTTTGTTTCTTTAACATGACTTCTGTGACTAAATCAAACATTCTGTGTTCAGAACATTTATCATTTACTAATATAAAGTTGCAATAATCTCATAAGCTTAAGCAAGCTTTCACATGATTATACACAATGCTTATAAATGATATGTTTATATGCAGTTATCCTTCTACGAGAAACACATATTCTGTTCTCAATAGAGGAAGCAAATAATTTATGAAATTATGAAAACAACATTAATTAAAACTGTGCAAAGAAATATAAACACATACACATGTATAAGTAAAATGTAACACTATACACACATTACATTTTAAAACTACATAGAAAAATATATATTAATATCTAAATGAGCTAATTATTTTTTATTTTTTTTTTTATTTATTTATTTTTTTTTGTCAAAAGCTATTGCACACATACATTAAATTTTGCATTTTCTGCTCATAAATAACAGCATTTATATCAGTAAACTTACACAGACATATTTAAAGATTGCTAATATAATAAAAACTTCAGTAATTTATAAAAAAGAACATATACCAATAGCTTTTCTTTTCTGTCTTGAATTTTTCGTTAAATATATGGGAAAAGTAAAATATTTAAAAAAGAGATCAATTTTTTTCATTTTTTTTTTTTTTTTTTTTTTTTTTTTTTTTTTAATTTACATTACACAGGTTTTCATAAATTACACTTAAATTTACATACCATGCCTAATTAAAATAAAAACTTTAAGGTAAAAAGGCTTAATTAAAAGGGTTTCATCTATCTGTATTAAAATTTATGAGCATCTTGGACGGCTAATTCAGTGACAAAAACACAAGTTTAAATAACTACTCATTTTATATATCATATAAAATTACTTTTATTTAGAACTCACCTAAAAATGTTTTCTTTGACCTACATATAAATATAAGAAATAGCTGTTCCATTTGAGCTCCAAATGCAAATTATATTCCATAAAATACATTTAATTTTAAACTACAATCATTGAACTCTTATGATCTAACAAGAATTTTGCCATTATTTTGTTTTATTTTTTTTTTTTTTTTTTTTTTTTTTTTTTTTTTATCAAATTTACAAATGTACATTCAAATGAAATACAAAGACCACTTGCAGCACCCCATACAGATTCTAAAATTCGATAGAAAGATTTTTGAGAGATTTTATTTGCAGAAAAAAAAGAAAAAAGTTCACTTAAACGAAATAGCTAAGAAATTATCTAATTACCAAAGGGGACGGTTTCTACATTAAATGTTGAGGTACAACCTGAGTATACTTTGTAATATTTTATTCTATTAAGTACAATTGAGAGTTTTATTAATTTTTACTTATTCCTCTGTATAAATAAAATAGATTCACATATTATAACACTATATTTAGGAATAATATATATGAGCAAAAAAGTTCATGCAGCACATTTTTTCCATTGTAAGACACCACTGATTTTATAACCTTAATTTCAGTATTCAATCAATTCAGTCACACAACAGTAAAAAATACTTTGAATCTTAGCAAATAAAATAGATAAAATGGAATATTTAAATACATATATAAAGTATTTTTAATAATTGACTGAATTATTAATAACAATATACTTATTTAAATCAGTATTCTGTAAGAATTAATTATTCGTCAATAACTAATGATTTGGTAAAATATAAAATTCTAAAAACCATAGATTCGAAGATGTACTCTGCTTTTAGCAAAATTCATATAGAAGAAAAAAAAGACACCTAGATTCAAAGAAATTTGGTACATGTATTGGAGTGGAACATATTCTGAGTCATCTACTGTAGCTATAAAACTCACAGAAAAGCTGTGCTGATAATAGGTACCATAAGTCGACCATATACAAATTTTTTGGCTAATACTTTTAGTTTTTTTATGTATGTGTGTATGTAAAAAAGAAAAGATAACACTGCAATTCCTTTTTACCTTTAAACAATCTTAAACATATTTTCATTTTAAAAACTATGAAAACCAATTAGTGCAATTAGTCAGTCTTCAGCATCCATAGAGAAGATTCAGACACTATAAGCTCACTGATGGTGAATATATGACAAGCGAATTTGGGTGACATGCATCATGCATTTCCACAGCCATTGATGGAGACAAAAAACTGCATAATGCAAAAATATTTGTCTCCTGAAACAGCTTCTTCATTGTCAACATGTGCTGGACTTACCTCAGGTGTGCTCTAATGCATTCTTAGCAGACTGATGATTTTATATGTGACACGGCACCAGAGTTATGCTAGGATGTTTTTTTTCATAGGTAGAGCTCAGAAGATTTGCATTTCTGCTGTAGCTTATATAGCAAAATGAAGGTGAAAGAAAAGAAAATCATTGTGAAATCTGCATACTGCTTAGCATAATCTTTGCTGAGAAAAGAATGTCTCCATTCTGCTTTCATGTCTAATTGCAAAAAAATTCCTACTTTCATGTGTGTTTACACTTATACTAATTTGATTGTGCTATCCCATATAATATTTATGATTTTCTAAATATTAAAAAATTGTTAAGGGGAACACATTTTCATAATTTTGCTTGCTTTCTTCAAACAGAACATGACATAGATATGTAAAATATAAAATACAAAAATAAATCTCTAATTAAATTACTAAATTAGCAATAGATTAAATTTCTTCTTTAGATTTTTATATGCCCCCCTTCCTAGCACCTGCAATGCATCAAAATTTATCTCGATTGCATAATTTCTAGATTAAAGCATACGTATGACTTAATAACACCGATAATGTAACTAGTAATGCAAAAGCTAAACTGAAACTCTGATGTAACTAATTCGGAACTTGAACTCTTAAAATTTCGAATAAAGAAACCTTTCTCTTAATAGACTGTCATATTTAATAACTGCACACTTTTGCTTTTTTCCCATTAAGACACTACTTCGGTTGCTTACCTCTGCCAGCTATTGTCATGACTTGAAGAAAGCTGCAAACATAGCCATATCCACACAAATTTTTTCCTAGAAAATTAGTTCTTAGGACACATGTACTGTTTCCTTGCATATCATCATTGTGGATGCGTTATGTAACCCACAATTTTATACAGATTATATTTTTGAACAATGGACAATAGCTAGCAGAGGCTAAGTGACCAAAGTGTCTTAATGGGAAGGCAGCTAGAAAATGGTGCACAATTATCCAAAATGAAGGTTCACCAAGAAAAGGTTTGGGTTTAGGTTGCTTATTAGAAGAAAAGTTTCAGTTCTCGAAATTTGAATTCAGGTTCCAAGTTAGCTACATCATCAGCATTATGCAAGGCATATGACATAGACTGATCTAGAAATGAAGCAGTCTGGAAAAATTATTACTTATTTTAGAACAGAGAGGAGTAATTAAGGATTCATTGCTAGTTTAAATTATAATTTTGAAATCTGTATATGTTTTATTGAGATTTACCTATTTTTTTATCTTACACACACATATATATAATTTAAAAAAAAAAACTAACTCTCATCAGATTATATATCGTTTTCAAATATTTAGATCATTCTTTAAACAACAGCAGGTAGTTGTACAAAAAAAGATGTTACTAGAAATAAAATTATTTTATAAATGTTCATTTCTGAAAAATAAGAATGCACAAGCATTAGTACAAAGGATCAAAAAGAATCAAAGTCTTATATGTAGAGGTGTTGGAATTTTTAGTTACTCATGATTCAATTTAAGTTAATCATTCAAATACATGTTTTGCTTTTAGCAGCAAATCACAGTACTATTTTTGGAGATATAATAGTGTCAGAGATTTTATTAATGCTAGTATAGTTACTAACAAAAGCCACAGTACAATTATCTCAAGATGACTTTTATTGCAATTTTGCTTTATGAAATGACATGTCAAGTAAAATCCAAAATAATCATGATGAAGGAAATTACTAAAACATGAAATCTGCATGTTTCTGGTGTCAGTGACAATCAAACTGGCTTAGGATTGTTCCAACACAAAATTAAAATTGTAGAAAATTAAAAACTGCAAAAATAAATAATAATAATAAGTTAGCTTGAGAAGCTAATGACATTGCTATGTATTAAAAAAAACTAATAGGTGGAGAAAATCTCAAATAAAATGTTTCATGAAATAAGTTCGTAAGAAAACGAACAATAAAGAATAATTGAACTTATGTACAAATAAACTACTGAGATTTAACTACAAACTAATTTGTAAAATTACTATTCAAATATATTTCCCAATAAATAATTAGGAATATAATAATGGAGCCATTTACACATTACTTCGTACAGTTTGAATCAGAAACATATTTATCTGTTGAGAAGTATAACTTTCCAAATAGAAGGAAAGAATAAAAAGCATAGAAATACACTTCTTATTTTTAAATTCCAAATTATATAACTTTTAAGATATTTTTTTTAAAATCACAAGTTAAAATTGAGTACCCTAAATGCTCAGTAACTTTTGTTTTTCCTCTTTGAAAATACAGACTTAGACATCAAAATCCACTGAATTTTATGAAGATAAAATTCTTCATAAAATTCCCAATAAATAATTAGGAATACAATACTGAACTTATCCAGGAAGTCTTTGCCACCTAAAAACCTTCAAAATATGAGCATAAAGAAAGACTATAATTAATTTTCAAAGGGAGCTTTGTTTAGAGGAAGCTCCCACCTATGACACGCATTTTGTGTCAAGAAAAATTTGAATTTTTTATAACAATATGCAAATGAGTTTGTTTCTTTTTAAAAAGAGATAGCCAAAACAAATCTACTTCCCCTTTGTAAAAAGACCACAGGCACAAAATGCTTCCTGTCACTTGAATTTGGAGAAATAAAGATAAAATAAATTCCTTACATTAGTCAGTGACTTAGAAAATGATTTGTAGTAGAAAATAGATGTTTTCAAGCCGAAAGTCAAGGGGCATTAAATTACTTCTTTAAAGCTGTAAATTCCTTATGAATGATTTCACAATAAATAAGTTTAAGCACATGTTAAAAAATTTGTGCTAAAAAATAATACAGTTTATACTTCTTTTATGTGGTAAAAATTATAAAACAGGAAAATTTACAAAAACTGTACATTGTGAAAAACAGTACTAAGTACTTACACTTTTGAATGAAAAATTTCTAGTTTTCCGATGTCTTTTTAACATGAAACCAACATTTAACATTCTGATAATTTCATATGCTGAATGTGAGATAAAAAATGCAACTTACAAAGCAGTATGCAACTGCTTGTTGATAAATATATCGAGAAATAAAATGCATTTATATTCTCAAACATGTTAATAACTTAATGCTAATAATAAATTATTTATGAACAGTAAATGTGTTTAATTTTAGCCACTGGTCATATACCTATTAAAGTACAGATATAATCTGACATGACATACATACATTTAAATGGCACTATATTACCATATTTTTTTTCCCCACATAAAAATAATGAGACATCAAAAACATTCCTTCAAAGCAAAAGATTATCCAGCAAACCAGTCCATTTAGCACAAAATATTCAGAAATGGTTTCATAAAATGAGCAAAATAATGATAGAAATTTGTAAAAAACCCTTCAAATTTTTTATACATATATTCAGGATAAGTATGTTCATTAAGTTTCATAAACTATATGAAAGAAAATTAAAAAGATTATGCAAATAAAGGCCATTTTTTATCTGTAATTACTTATACGAATTTCAGATTAGAAATGCATTTTAAAAATTAAAAAATTTCATAGTTTGTATTTACATGAGGCACTCTTATTTTTTTTTTTTTTAACAAGGAAAAGCACAAAAATAAAATTTCATGTTGATTGTCCCAATAGCCATAATCGTACCTAAGGCAGCTCTGAACTTAATGATACATTTAAGTTTAAGATAACAAGTAGAACAACAATTAATGCATAGCAGTAAATAAAATTTTGTTTTTAATGATTAAAATTCTTAATTTCTCCCATGTAATAGGCCAGGCTTACCTGCTACATACAATCATTATTTATAAAATGAAATAACTGTATTCTGATTTCATAAAATTATAAGTTACTCTATATTTTACTGAACAATAAAAATTACACTATACATTAAAAAAAAAAAAAATACTGAGCATAATACTTCATGAAATCTTTCCATATTTTTACTAAAATATATATATCTAATATTCATAATGAAAAATTAAAGATTGAAGCCAATTAACCTTGGCAAATATTGCACATTAAAGGATCCCTCTACATATATATAATTAACTCTGCAGCATCCAGAAAGAATTTCAAAATAAAGTTTCTTTTCAAAAAGTTATAAACCATACATATCAACTATGATTTTTTTTACCTCAACATTTAACAATAAATAATGGTAAAATTTAAGCTAATTTACAGCACCTATGTAACAGCATTATTATTAAAAAAGTACAAAATTTTGATTAGTAATTTATTTTCCCCTATTTCTAAACATATTCTTTTTATGGGGATCCTGTACTAGGTATTATTAGGCTTAACATGACTAAATAGTAAACATTATATGGAAAATTCCCTTCTATAATTGCATTACACACAAGTTTCATCAAGGCTACACTAACAACAACAACAACAAAAAAAAAAAAAAAAAAAAAAAAAAAAGAGGGGGGGGGGAGTACAATATTTTTTTTTTTTAATTAATAAAATTGACTCAAAAGTTACATTATGGCACAATTGATATATTTTTTGCCAAAAAATACAACCACTACTAAAATCATGCTACTATCAAAATAAATATATTAAAAGACTAAAAAACAAATAATTACAATTTATACAAAAATTTTATTTTTACAGGATTACAGAAACTTCACCAAATTAAAGGAGTGCTATATCATATATAAAATATTTTTTAATACTCCTTACTTATTATTTTAAGCTTTTTACATTAAAAAGCGAAGGGGCATGAAATATATGTCAAGCTATTAAAATGTAATTATGTCTATATGTAGTCATAATGTAATATACGATTTTAGAATATTACAGATATACTGAAATAATGTTATACACCATATTAAAAAAAGAATTTATTCTTACAATGCAAATTTAATTTACTTTGAAGCTGAGTCTCAATCATTTCAGAGAATTAAATACTTTTTACTTAATCTACTCATTTTAAAATACTTTTTACTTTTCTTTTATTTCAGACTTTTAAAATACTTTTTACTTTTCTTTTACTTTAATTTCAGAGAATTAAATACTTTTTACTTAATCTACTCATTTTAAAATACTTTTTCTTTTCTTTTCTTACTTTATACCAAGTAAAATGAATCTGTAAAATAGTACTCTAAATGTTGTACAAAGTCCTTAAAATATGTTTAATAATCAGAGAATCAGAGACTGCTAATTACAAAAGCAATATGTTTGTAACAATCACTTTTTCAAATTCCTTTCTATAACATTTTTGAAGTAACTATTAACAGATGCATAGTAATTACAAAGATCTAATATAATTTATATCTATGACAGAATTATAGATTATATGAATGATTTAATTTGATGAATAAAAACAATGAACTATAGGATTACTATTAGTTAAATCCAGTATTCAAGAACTGAATGAAGCTAAATTCTGAAACTGCAACAGGTTACTTTTCCAAATTTGGCAATAACATTTTAAAAAGTAGAATTCACACCTCTTATGTAAAATCTTTACGATTTACAGAACTTTGTTAATATTTATTATTTACATGTAAAAAAATACATACATGTAATTAAAATATAACAGCTGTTTTAATCCAATTTTGTTTTATAAATAATAAAACATCTGCAAAAATTATCTGGCTCACTTCAATTAGCTATTACGAAATAAAATCTAAACCAACAATTAGGATTTTCTGGGACAACTTTTTGTTTTGCAAATTTGGCAAATAAAACCACTGCATTAAAATAGCCTTATAATAAAAAATATAAATGGTTAAAATTAAAACAGTAGCACAATAGGAGGGGAAGGGATATATTATTAAAATTTAAACACAGAAGAATAAAACAAGCTTTAAACAATTTTTCTTTTTTAAATATACAAGCAAGAAATGAAGCAATTATATATATATTTTATTCCTCAACACAAACATACTACTAATTAAAACTCTGAAATATATAATTTCCAAGGTTAATGATAAATTTTGTGATGTATAAGCACTCACTTTAAAATAAAATTTTCTTCCTAAAATGCATTAACAACATGAATTAGTTATATCTTTGACTTTTCCAAATTAACTGGAAATATATACAGCAGTCCCTCATTTATTCAATAAACCCTTTCATCCATTTCCACACTCTCATAAAACTCTTCATGAGTTAAAAAACCACATTTGTCCATAGTGATTTTCAAACAAGGAAATGAGCAAGAATTTCAGTAACAGTGTATCAGTACAATACTTTTCTCTTTTTTTTACAAATATCAATAAATAACATAACTATATTAGAAATCTGCACTATCATTACAGATGAGTGATATTTTTTGAGTCATAATATAAAGGACTAGAATCTGATTCAGAATTTATTTCATCATCAGAGAGTTTTTCAATCATTGAAGGCAAGCTAGGAGACCTTTGCCTTCTTTCTTTACATTCAGAGGATAATTCCTCACTTCTTGTATACAAACTATCAGGATAATCATCTAAAAACTCATCAAAAAAGTCTCCATTATCAAACTCAAAATTATATGCCTCGATGTAGCCAGAAGATTTCCCAGGAATACTGTAAGACCCAAAGACATCTTCAAAGGGACGCACTGTATATTCTGAAGTGACAGAGAAATCTTCAGCTGGTGATGCATTAAAAAACTGTCCGTTCAGAAAATCATCCAATTCATCTTCACTTTCACTAGCTGGAGTTATAATAATTCTTGGTACAACAGCTGCCGAATGTGCTGTCACTACAATATCCTTATCATCTGTTGTTCGCTTAGGAACTAAAGGAAAATTCTGATTTATAGTGTCTTCATTTTCCTCTATAACAAAGAAATGTTCCCCAGCACCTCTTTCAGAGCCTTCATTGCAACTCTGGGCAATAGCATCTACCATATTTTCAGTAGAATTACTTTGACTGTTGCCTGATTTATTATCAGCAAGGCTATTATTTACAAGCACCTCATTAATTGAAACACAATCATTCACTATTTCATTAGACATTTTAAAGCTGTTGTGGTACTGATTAAGTGTACATTCATTATTTAAATATGAAGAAATATCACTACCACCTTTGGTTTCAGAGAAATTAGATTCCACATCTAATTCTTTCCTATTCTCAAATACTCTTTCACGTGTAGATTCAGTTTCCATGTTTAGAACTGTGGCAGTATTAATCTGGCTTTCTTTTTGTAAATCAGATGCATTATTAGTATGAACTCTGTCAGAATAAAAATCATCAATTATTTTCTTTGTAGACAGTAATTCTATGTTATTTTCATGACTATGAGAACATTCTGAACTTTGAATATCTTTGATTGTTTTGCCATCATCAGTTATAATAAGACTTTCAGTTTGTTCTTTTACATCAGCTTTATGGTGTATTTGAGGTAATTCAAAAGATGATAAGGCTTCTTCATAATTTGAATGATTTTTAGAATCATCCTTTGTTTCATCTTTACAATTTGCAGTTAAATTCAATTCCCCATTAGTTTTTTCTTGTTCCTCAATCAATATGCCACTTAATGGTTTATTATGGACGGATCCTTCACTTACAATGCCATTTGATGCATTCATTTTATCTTCATATTTGTTTGTATTGTTAATACATGTTGCATCAGGTTCAAAAGACCTATCTTTGGATGTACTTGCACTATTTTTTGGTGAAAATTCATTAAAATTATGAGTTAAGTCATCTAAAGGCTTTTTAATTGAATTTTCATATGCTTCCCCCTTTACAAAATTTTTATCAGGACTTTCCTTTGTTATTGTAGTTTCATCATTATGAAGTCCTTCATTGAGTACCCCATTTAAATTTTCATATTGAATAAACATCTTTTCTTCCAATTTTTTATCATCTGATGATCTTATAGTATCAAAACAAAGATCACTAACTGGTTTTTCATTCAAATTACTTAAGTCATTAAAAGAATTATCGAAACTGTTCTTCAATTCACGTTTCTCCACACTTGCTGCTTGAGAATCAATATCATTATGCACAGAATATGAAAGGGAAATGTACTTTTCCTTATCAGAATCTAATTTTGGTTTCTCATTGCATTTTATAACTAACTGATCTGTTAAGTTGGTACTACAGCTAACATCTTCCACTCTTTCACTTTCAACAAGTTCTTCAATTATTATTTCTTCATTACCATTTCCAGGTATGCTCTTATCTGTAACACTCATCTCTTCAGAATACATAGTAAATGCAGCACATTCATGGACGGTGACATTTTCATGCTGTACCTCAGAATCTGGCAAAAGCTCTTCAATAATTACATCTTCAACAGTAGTTGCATTTTCCTCTTTTGGAGTAACTGTTTCATCATATTTTTGGACGGACACTGATGAGTTTACTTCCAGTTTACTGGGCAAATATTCATAAGATTGCTTATCAAGAACATTCTGCATAAGTTTCAACCTGTTTTCTTCTTGTGCTAGGTTGTTCAGCTGATTCCTTATCAGTTCACTAATCTGGTCTTCAGACACAGGAGAATACTTTTCTTCTAAAAGAGAAAACCAAATAAATTAAGAATGGGAGATAAAACATAAATGTGCATATTACAAATAAGCAAAAATATGATTCTGAATTATAGATTCTCAGGAAATCAAAATGAGATTTTTATTCTACTTCAGCTGTACTCTCCAACCTTTCAATTAGTACTGCTTTTGCCAGCATCACCGAAAAGAGAATGAGAATTAACAGATATACAAATTCTTTGACTGTGAGTCTATAATACACTGAAAAGGATCAGTCATTCATTCTATTTACTTTTCTAAAGAATCTTATATTCAGAGACTTTACATGTTTTATTTCACTGAGTTTTTGTTACTGAGTAAGCGTTTAATAAACAAAATTTAAAAACTTGTTAGTAGATTTCTAAATTTAGGTAACATTAGAAAGATTTAACAGTTCAGTGTTGTGGGTATAATGTTTTAATAAAGAAGTCATGTAAAAATTTTATGTACATAATAAATTTATTTAAAAAGGTGTTTGTTTATTTAGTGAAAAGACAAAGCAGCTTTATAAAAATGCAATAAAACTTAACGTGAAGGTGGCAAAATTTTTTTGAAAAAGAAACCGATGCTTAAGATGATAAGACAGGCTAAAAACAAAAAAGAAATACCTTCAGGAGAATTAGAAGGTGCTTTGAACTCTGAAAATGAAGAATATTCTAATGGGTCAAATTCTTCATCTGAAAACCCAGAAGTCAAACTGTACAACAATGGACGGTTAAGGGGTCCTACAGATGAACTAGTATAAGTGGGTCGTCGTACATAGGGTTCAGATTCTAATTCTTCAATTTCAACAATTTCATTCATGTCTTCATTTTCACCTACATGTAAATCCCAATCTGAAAGGTAAAATACCAATTGAAAAACATATTCAAAATTGAGGAGATTCAACCACGAAATTCAAAAAGATATCTGGCACATAATCACAACTCTGCAAATTTTTTATTCTAGTAGGATAGGAAAAAATTACTTTTTAAAAGTAAAAAGCTAAGTACTATTAACCTTTTAACTGTCAAGTTATTTTGATGATTTGGGTGCATAAATTGTCAATTTGTTTTATTCCAAAAATGAAATGCTTGCCTCAAAGTCAAAAAATCAAAAAAAATGCTGCAGACTTTGAATTTTAACCTCTATCCTTTGAAACCTTCAGTCAAATGCTGCCATATGTTGAACTGAAGCCGAAATAAACTTCTCACGATATATATTCGGGTATAACAATACGATGCACTAAAAAAAAATAAAATTAGCCCTAGTAATATTCTGGCGTGACATTTTGGAATACCAGTGCTGTGCCCGAGATTATTTCGGGCGTGAGAGTTAAAAGGTTAATAAGCAAATAATTCTAAAAACAAAATTACAGAAATATTTGCTTTACTAAATATTTTGTAATTCTGATCTACATTATAATAATAAATTAAATGTTTTTCAAAGTTTTGAAATTTTGTAGCATGTAAATAAAAGTAAATATAGGTACCACCATTAAAGCATTTTCCAATTAAAAATCAATGTATCCTAAATGAAGTGTTTATAATCAAATAACAAAACATTGAGTTTATATTATTTATTAATATTCATAACAAACTTTTGCGTCATAACAAAATATATGTTATAGTTCATCAAGCTTAAGGACATCTTGGACACACACACACACACACACACACACACACAAAAAAAAGAAATCTTTCGGAAAAGACATCCACTCATCTGAGTATAAATCCAAGAGCATTTGGCCAGTGTGGCAGCAGTCACAGGTGTCAATTCAAGGGGGATGGCAAAAATAAAAAATATACATATGGCATCTAAAAAATTAAAATTGAGTTTATATTATTTATTAATATTCATAACAGAAACTTTTGCATCATAACAAAATATATGTTATAGTTCATCAAGCTTAAGGACATCTTGGACACACACACACACACCCAAAAAAAAAAAAAAAAAAAAAAAAAAAAAAAACTTTCGGAAAAGACATCCACTCGTCTGAGTATAAATCCAAGAGCATTTGGCCAGTATGGCAGCAGTCACAGGTGTCAATTCAAGGAAGATGGCAAAAATAAAAAATATACATATGGCATCTAAAAAATTAAAACAAAATGTCAATAGGGGTTCCATTTTATACCCATTTATATCTTTTGTGCAAAAATTATACCACCAAAAATAATGCAATGTACCATCAGTTATACCATATTTTGAGAATTCTGGTAAAATGTAAAATCAGAATGTTTTAAAATAACTAGTCAAATTGTCAGAAAATCACTGAAACTTATTCTCTGACCATTTCACTTGTTATTTCATACTGAAGAGGCTGTTTTAAAATTTGTAGATGATTTTGGGGCCCTTTAATTAATGCTTAAAATGTAAAAAGTAATTGCTTAAACATTTGATATGATAGCATGTCTTCTGGACTTTGCACAGTGATTTTCCATAATAAAAGAGCTTTTCAAAAAAATTACATGGGTATTGATTTCCATTCCTCTTCCAATACTTTCCAGAGTTCATCAATCATGGTGAGTTTGGAAAGAATTCTTTTCAAGAAACCAAAATCACAAAAATCCATAGGTGAAACATCAGTACATTTGCATGAAAAGGAAGATATACAATACCTATATTAATCTTCATGTTTTCAAGGAATGCAGTGGCGCTTTTCGAAACATGACTTATTGATTTGTCTTGATGAAGTTTCATTCAGTGAAAGTTATTTGCATAGAGAATTAGAAGTTCTGTAAATACTGGATATAAAACTTTCTCTTGCTAGTATGCTGAGTTGACTTTTAACATTCTTTTCCACTTTTCTTGTTTTTAATTTTCCATTATAAGAAAATCCCATGACAATCATAAACTGCTTACTGAAATTTTCTTTGCACTGACAAAACCAGGTTTGTATACTCTTTTTTCTTCATTTTTGACAATAAATAAACCTTTACTTGTTGGAGTTATTTAGGTATACAAATGTTTATTATTAAAGTTATTTAGGTATCAATGTTTTATCGAGGGTCACATTGTATTTCTGTTTATCTCCTGCTAAATAGTTTTCATACAAGGTTCTACAAATTGTTCTGCATTGAGCCAAACACCTCAGCAAAAGCTGGTGAAAATCATAATTTTTAGCTTTATTGAGTCATAAATCTTGGTTTCTTTTATTAATTTTTGCTACAGATGTATTTGTTATACAACTGCAATTGATTTCTGCATAGACAGATTTTCTCTCTTTACCAACAATTTAATTTTTGAAACATTAAAAACAGTATACAGTACAAAGTACAAAATCGGGATTCGTCAGGACTTCGATTCCAGATTTGGAATTTTTCCAAATATTAGATCATCGGTTTAAATTTAGTATGATGGCATGTAGAAATTATAAAATTAAAAATATGACATTGTGGTTTATGAAATAATGAAGTATTTATTATCTAAAGCGTATCAAAATTTGAAAAAAAAAAAAAAAAAAAAAAAAAAAAAAAAAAAAAAAAAGCTCCATATATATTTGTTTACCTTATTAAAAATTTCTTTCAATGTAAGTTGTTTAAGTTGCTTCGTTTTTTGTGCTAATACTTTCTTTTTAATTCTGTAGACAGACATAATCTCTTGTTCAGTTGCATTGTTGAAGTCCTGTAACTGCTGTTTCGAGAATTCCGATTTAACTTGTCAATCGAAATTTTCTCGTTTTCAGTAACTTCTCTGTCACTTTCTTCACTATCGGTAGTGGTATTTTCTGGATCTAGAACTATACTACATATTTTGCCATTCATTAATTGATTGATGATTAAGAAGCATTGTCATCACAAAGAAAAACTTCTTTTATATCATCTTTATTTATTACCGCTTCTGCACATTTCTTTAGAAAATCAGTTAATTGGAAAATTTTACCTTTGTTTTGCGATATCCAAAAACCTTTAAAATTCACGGCTATTATCATCAAATTAGCTATCGTTCACAATACATATTTCACTATGCATCATGAGCTTGGCGACTAACGAGAAGTTGTTCCGTTAAATTTTATCTTGCTTCTATTGCACACTGAGACAATTAAGCCTGAATTGTGTTAGTTTAGTTATTTATTATACTTATGTCTATTTCTTGCACATGCTTAAGGCTTATCAGAGTTCTGAATAAAGAAATTCTCACATATACTTAAACCTTATTGAGGGCTGGTGCTAAATAGATATCTTATCGCCTGATGCAATCTCTGTGGGTCCTAAATTCTGCGCCTCGGTTCGGCCATATGAGCCCTGGCATTCGTTCTGGGTTTATGTGAATAACAAATCAGTTATTCTTAATTCAAATAGCCCTAAATGTAATCTTTGGGTCTATGAGTATCATCATCAAAATCTATTTTTAGCATATGGAAAAAAATTTTTGGTAAATTTTACCTCGTCAACCTTTTGGTGCATTTAACTTAAATATGTAATCATCGCCAAGCGTAATGTCAACATAAAAGGTTATCATACTCCTTTATTATTCAATTACTAACATAAAAAAATTGTTTAGGCATTGCTACATGAGTCATTACTCAAGTTGTCATGTTTTGATAAACATGCAGTGATGAAAGGAAAGTAGGTAGGAATAGCTTCAGTATAGACCACCTTTAAAGTTTGGCGAATTTTTTTTGGCACCAAAGCATGTGAAATACGTTGTTTTGAAAAACGGTTACCATCAAGATTTTCATCAAAAATGGTGGTCGTCTTGCTTTCACCAGAAATCATGGACAATAGAAATAAATTTACGACTATTATACAGAATTTTAAAAGACAAAAATATTAAGGAATGATTAAGGTTAAAAGGATATAATTCTGAAAACAATGCCGGAAAATCTCACATTTGCTTGGCTTTTCTAAATGTAAGATACCTTTGCACGGTATCTTACATTTTTCACAACAAACTTTATCCTTCAATAATCCACGATCTATTAAAAATCCTCTAAAAAGTTCATACTCTCTTGTTAATTCATACATAAAATATCTGTTTGGAATGCTTGGCTTTCCCAAATTTTATGCTTGTTTGAAAACTTCATTTTCCTTTAAAATCTCCTGATATTTAATTACAACATCACTAACAGCAGGTTTAGAGCAATCCATAACTAAATGCAAAAATCCTGATCTCCAATACAGTATTCTCCACAATATCTGAGTGTTAAACAATCGCTGGAAATAGTGTTATGAATTTTGTGTTTAGACAGTTAATCTTAGTAGAATTCTAATTAAAAATGTTGTATTTCCCCGTGCAGTGCAGTGCGAGACAAATTTTAAGAGAAAGCTATGCCAGAAAAGTAAGATTACAGAGGCACATGCATTTAACTTTGAGTAAAGGGATATCTCAGTAATTTGTATTGAAATTGAATAAATGTAATTGACCACTATGTTAGTTGCAACCATAATTCCATGCTCTTTAGAAATCAGAAATTTACGGTTGTTTACATTGCGTATGTCGAATAGTATGGGTTACCACATGATCGTAAACCGGTGTGGGTTGCCACATCATATTATTTATCACCATTCTTGGCAATATTTTTTGGTTAAAATTCTGGATAGGCTATGACTAAAGCTGTTCCGGAAAGTATAATAAATAATGGTTTGCCAGGTTGGCATCAGATCAACGATGTATCTATGTGGAATGTTTCAGTTTGAGATGTGTGCCAAAGCAGATACACAGCAACGGAGCCAAATTACTAATCGTACAAATTTATGCTAAAATTATTGTTTCTTCAATAAAAAGGTATTTAATTTAGTGTCAAAGTGAAATTAAGAATTGGGACTCTTCCAATATTTTATTATGCATGGAGGGGGAAATCAAATGCGCATGCGTAAAGCCTACGAGAAAAATGTTGTTGGTAGTTTTGACGTCCAGATTTTAGATTAACCCGGATAATGGACGTCTGGATTTCGGACTTTGTACTGTATACTTTTTCAGATATTCATTTGGAGTTTTCCTTCCACATAGAAGTAATGACTGATGGTTTTTGACTTTCCAATTAATAATGTTGCTTATTTAACACCTAGAGATTTTAATACCATGTATTTCATAATGCTGTTGAATTATGGAATTGAGATATTTCTCTTTGAAATGTGCAAAAACATATCTTTGAATTCACAGCTTGTTTGCATGTGACATTTTGAAAGGAGATGAAAAATAGCAAATGATATTTCTCACTTTAAATAATTAAATTGTAACAGACACATTTTTGAAGATCATCGACTATTTTATGCATAATGTGTAAGTATCTATAGTGTTTAAATAGAAAAACAAAGACATGAAATACAAAAGATTTAAACTTTTTTAATGAAATTTTGTCATTTTTTTTATCTATTTAGAGCATTTAAAATTTACATGCGTATATATTGTTATGCATGTATGAGTTCATAGTAGATTAAATGCACAGAAAACCAATGAGAGCTTGATAAAATTTCTTTAAAAAAAAAAAAAAGTTCTATAACTTTTCACAAAAGCACTCGTACAGCTCTTCACGCTATCACAGAGCACAATCAGTAGTTACTTTACAAACTATTAAGAACGTTAAACACAATGCAATATAAAATGCATATAAAAGACAAAGCTCTAATAGATATCTCAATACTCCAAAATCAAAAACTCAGAACTTGATGCTTTCTCCGGTCTTATACAGTTTTCCCCCAGTGACTGAGGAAGCTCTAGTACCTTCCACTTCCTGAAATTACTGGAAGGCATATGACAGACCGAATACAATTACATATAGCGATCAATTACATTTATTATATCACAATATCAATTATAGTTACACAGGGATGAGACAAAAATGTTGCCAAATTTGGTGACTTTTGGCAATTTCTTGCCCAATTTGGCCAAAAATTAGTTGTCAAAACCGTCATCAGCTTGGCAGTACCTCACCAAGTTAAAAAATAGCCATTTAATTCAGTGTTAAATAGACTTGCCCCTGTAGTTTTATTTTTCTGGCAAAGCATAGTCTCTTTCAAGCATTTCATGTTATATTATACAAAAAATACTACAGTTTCACATATAATTTCCCTAAATTTATATACATACATACAAAATCCGAAACAATACTATACTCGGCTAATCTTTTGAATATGGTAACAGGTAGTTTGGCAACATTTTGGTAAGGCGATAAAGGTAGGACTTTGTACCCAAATAAAAGTCCTACGAGTCCAATAATCTGAGAAATACACAGTTCGAATCACAGATTATTTTGTCTCACAGAAATGAGAGATCATGAAACATGTCATGTGACATTTTCCGGAAAATTCCGATCGTGATTTTAGCTAATAAGCACTTAGAAACAATTTCGCTGCTAAAGTGCTGAATCGCCCACTTATTTGTTTGGTGCATTTTACAACAGTAAGAAGAATTGGATTTTTGTCAATTTTCTTTGACTTTTTAAGTGAAAATAGGTCAATGTGTACATGGATAAAGTCAAGAGTGTGCGCAATGACATTTTTGGGCAATTCTGGGATGTTTTTTAAAGTGAAAATAAGTCAACGTGTACATGGATACCGCGTTATGTGCAATTCTTAAAAACGCGCTAAACAGTAGGCGATTCTGCACTTTCTCCCAATTTCGCACCTAAACTTCGTCATGATTAAGCACTTTTGTTCCATAAAAGTTCTAGCATAAGCGTTATTCGGCTAGTAGATTGTTGGAAAAAATGTTGAGTAAAAAAAAAAAAAAAATGTGTAAAATGTGTGTTACCTTTACTTCGCAAAAATAAAAAAAATGTGTTACCTTTACTTCGCAAAAACAAAATGGGTTTTTGGAAAAAAAAAAAAAAAAAATAGGTTGCAGTAGCAGGGTTGGTCGCCAAATTTTCGCCAAAAAATCGCCAAGTTACCATAATCCGAAGATTCACCCTATAGTCTGCTACCAAGTCTTCAGCAACCAAAGGCAATTTAAAAAGATACAAATTCAAATACAGATATTAATTTAACAATATGCATAATAATTACAAGGTAAAATGCTTACCAAATAAACTTTAAATGCTCTAAATAGTTAAAAAATGACAAAACTTCTAAAAGTTTAAATTTGTATTTCATGTCCTTTGCTTTTTCTATTTAAACTTTTGAGTCCAAAATGCAAGTGGCAAAATTTGAATATGTTAATATAAATCTGAAAGCATTCAAAGTATTTAATTGCACAGTCTTTTAGCAAAACTATATTTTGACAGAATATGATGATAGAATATGATATATTTTGACAGAATATGATGATAGAAGCGACTTTTATTTGGGTTATTGTGACTGTTAAAAAGAGTAATCACTGAGTTATCTGTTTCAAATTTACATGAAATGCATACCTAAAATTTTTTATTTTATTGCACACTAGAAATTCGATGGACTGTAGAACAGGAAGAAAAGATAATTTTACATTTTAGTGATCAATCTTATTTTATTTTAAAATCAAACATTATCACTGGATAGCAAGGATAATTTTTCAAGAAAGATTCTGGTCACTGAAAATCCCCAATTAAAAATTTTTTTGCAGGGATCAGTGAAGGAAAAGGGCTATAGTTACCTTTAATGGAATTTTTTCCATTTGCGAAAAGCGACTGGTGTTATCTGGGAAGAATGATTACGTAAATCTAATACTTTTGTTGACCTCTCAAATAGCAAATTCATTTTTTTTAATTCATTATTTTTTGTATACATCAAATAACACTGATGTTTTCCTGGGATTTTTTTTCTTGATCGGCCAGCCTGATAGATGAGTGGCACTTTTCAAATAGATGCTTTCTAAGGTACTGATTTTTCCTTTTCACCTTAAGTGGAAAGAAACTAGAAATCTTTTTAGCTTCAAGTTAATTTTATTTTGCCACCGCTTACTTCAGATCCAATTTTCAATGCTTTCCCTAATTATTAACTTTTAAAACTTTGCCAAATTCATTTTCAATAGAACATTCCTTATCTGAGGTTTCTGGGAAACTTTCACACTCTCATTACTGCCACTGAAAAGTAAATTCTGCTAAATTAGCAAAATAACAAGGCTGAAGAAGAATTACACACACAGCCTGTTAGAAGAGTTAACTATGATTATTAATTTTCAATTCCCTAGGTATTTTGCCATCTATACCCAGCCACAGTATTGCCAAAGTTTTTGCCTCTACTTTATAATGAACTTATAATGGACTCTCAATGACAGCACTGAAGTCTATAATATTAGCTCTCCTTAATGTTTGCTGCAGAGCTTTGATAAAAAGAACAGATCAAAGTAAATTAAAATTCAAATTAAATTAAAATTATCAATTATAATTAAAATTATCAATCAAATTAAAATTAGTATAATTTCAACTAATTTTAGCAAATCTGACAATGGCATATAACTTTAAATAGTGAAATGTCATACACAAATTTCTTATAAACAAGATGGTAAATATATAAAACAGCAACCATTGATAATGTTTTTATAGCATTTTTAAGATATATGCAGCAGACTGATAGCTACTAAATCCATCAATAAACAGTATAAATTACATACCGGCATATTTTTGATAATCTATATTCCAAAGAAATTCTTCTGCTGCTTCTTCAATTGGATAGCCATCTTCACTACTGTCAGATGCAGGTGGATATTCAAAGACTACTTGCGGACTTTCTTCATGGAAAGAAACACTTTTCCTTAATGAATTAAACTGAAAATGAAGACGTATGTAAAAAGCACTCAAAATAATGGCAGTTTTCATATAGTTAGAATTACATAAAAAATATTCTTATTTTTACATAATAAACAAACACACTAAAAATTATGGCCACTAAATGCATAAACTGCCATTATCTTGCTACAATCTCTAAAGGAATACACAAAGTACAGTGAAACCTTCCATGATGGAATCTGAAAGAAATCACCATTTCTGAAAATGCAAAATCACATTAGCATTGATTATCACCTAGTATACCTTCACAGCAAACCATATTACCTGGAACTGTTGGGGAGGGTTGTCTTCAGGAAGTTTCGTTTATTAATAAAGTCAGTAGTAAATGTCCATAAAAGAAGTGATATTTATTATGAAAAAACAAGAAAAAATTTGCATTATTAGCATTTCATTTTAATAGTATTTCACATTACTTTGATGCTTTCTTATTTTTGGCCATACACTGACAAATCAGATTCCAAGCAGATTGTTATTATGATTATCAGCCTAAAATTATGACCACAATTTTGGTGCAAATTTGAATATCACTTGGACTGATACTAATTTTGCTCAAAATGTCTTGCATTATGCACTAAATAATTCTGTATTGAATAAAGTCGCTAAAACCTAAATGAACATGAGAGTAGGGAAGACAAAGGAAAATAAAAATGTCATTCAATTTGAATATCACTTGGACTGATACTAATTTTGCTCAAAATGTCTTGCATTATGCACTAAATAATTCTGTGTTAAATAAAGTCAGTAAAACCTAAATGAACATGAGCGTAGGGAAGATAAAGGAAAATAAAAATGTCATTCAGTTTTTGCCATTAAGCAATGAAAGTTCAAATTTTATATATTCAGAATTACATGGCAAGCACAAGGACTGTCACTGGTTTTGCACTTCCTTTATGATGGTTATATCATCATTTAAAGTGAGCATTTTTTTTCTAGTTTAAATACCATACTTGAGATAAAATTACGTAAATATGTTTTCAAGGAATAAATTATAAATTATCTTAAATGTTATTTTTAAATACTAGGATACACATCTAAATTAGACCAAAACATTTTAAGAAAAACAGTCATTATTTCATATTCAGACTAATGTGATATATCACACAATTTATACAAACATATAAAGATATACCTTTTTCTCAGGTGTCACGAGAACACCTTTAGTTGGTGTTGCATGGCAATCCCATGTTTTAGAAAATACTTTCATGGGACTCTGCTCTCTACTACTATTAGAAGTTTCACTTTCATCAGCAACTTTAGAGATATCAACAACATTCTTAAATTTATTGTGAATGCATTCAAAAGAGCCTGAAGTAGAACTACACGAAGTGCCACTTGCAGTTTCCTCGCTATCACTTTCAAAATCTGGTGTGTATACTGTATCTCTACAAGGTGATGACTCAACACTGCTATATGGTGATGGTGATTGTGAGATATTCAAATGGTTAAGAGTTAAGCCATTCAGTCGATCCTCTTGGCTCAAATGATTTAAAACACTTGTGATATCTAAAAGCAATAAAAAAACTGGTAATGCAGTTTGAATAAAATAAAAAAGTATCCAGTAAATATCAATCAACAAATTTCAATACTTATTGCTAGCTTATTTATTAACAAGCAACAAAAGTTGGAAACATGAAAAACTGCTTTTTAACCCTTTCAGGACGGGCATCCCACATACGCATTCCCTAAGAACGTCTCTTACAGCCGGGCGTCCCATCCACGCATCACTAGAGATTGCATTCAGAGGACGGGTGATACGTACACGCATTTTAAGGTGGAACGTTTTTCTGAAGGCCATTAGATGGCATCCAATGTCCATTACTTTTGAAATGAACACAGTTTTAGATTCCTGAATTTGAGTTTGATATATTCTGCTTGACTTTGGTATTTTACTCATCAGCTGTTGCGAGGGGGGGAAGCGTAAACAGAGGCGGGCTCTTTAAATCGCTGCATGCTAATGAAAACATTCTCCCTGATTTATATCCAATTCCTTTTTTTATTCTATTTTTTCCCTCTACTATGTATGGTCTTTTAGGGTTACTATGTGGAGTTCTTTTTATATTTTGCATTTTTCCTTCAGATATATTTCCGTTTCTATTCTTCTTTTTTTACTTAGGAAAGCCTCACCTCCAGTCTATTATTGGAGCGGGAAGGCACTATTTATCAGAGGAAGAAAACCCCTCGTATGGTTAGTGAACCCTTTACTACACAAATGAGAGTAATGATTCATTTTCTAAAGAGTTAAAAGTGATACTTCTCAGTGCTTCGAGATTTACCACACTTGTCTTCATTTTAAATTTTGTTACTTCTTACTGTAAATAGTCTTTATTGTGTTGTTTTATTAATTTTAAACTTTATTGACGGATTTTATCAATTAAAACTTTGGAATAATTTGAATAGCACTTCCGAAAATTATTTTACAAGATAAGCAATTTTTCAAATATATTTTCATGTAAAATAAGGAAAAAAACGTTATTATGTGCTAATTTTAACATATATAAGAACTCAAGTAATAATCTAAAATGATACCAAAAATTACAAGGCTAGAAGCAAAACTTTTTTTTTTCTGATTTTTTTTTTTATAAAATTAGGCTTAGCGATGCAAAACCTTCATCCTGTATGGAGGCTGCCTTCGATTCCCTTCCGTCCCACACGAGCATCTTAAACAAAAGTGCGCTGTTGCGAAAAGGTTAAAGAATGATGTATTATTTAGCTTTTGAAAGATATGTAGAGTGTAAGATTATGTAAAATTCAATTCCAGAATGACAATCAGCAAAATGTACATAATGATTTTTCAGCAGCACCTAAAAATATGCCTAAGCTTTTAACTTCATTCAACCTAAAATATATCGCACTTTTAAGAAATCATAAGATTTGAAAAATAATTTAAGTTAGATAAAACGATCTTTTTTGGTAGTAATTAACCACAACTAAATTATCTCCATCAAACAAATAATTAATTATGTGCAAGAATTTTCTTTCAGTAAGAATACAGTAGAAGTCCAGAAATCCGCAAAGCTTGGGATCAGAGGCTGTGTGGATTTTAGGACAGAAAAGATAAATCATAATATTCAGACTAAAAGTGCAAAATAAATAAGGCATATTACATACATTTAATTAAATTATTATATACATCATTGCAATAACTTATTATATGCATTAAATTATTATTACATATATAAATTGATTATATTATTCATTGTATTATATGTACACAGCATCAAGGTTTGCCGATTTCGCCTCATGCAAAGATTTACGGTTTCGGATTCCGGTGTTAGAATCACTGTTGTTGTAAACAGCTTTTCTTTATTTTTTTGTATATCATACAAAATCGTGTCGCAATTCCATACGATTCTGCTCTAAACCGAGGAGTAGCACCTGCCTCCATCTTTTGCAGAATTTGCACTTTTTGCATTACCTTCAATGCAACATGTTTACATTTTTCAACGTTGCAAGTAGTAAAATCATGAGTGTGTTTTTTATCTGTCATTGTATTAAAAAGGGTTGAAATTTAAAATATTCTTAATTCTTCTTAATATCCACAAAATATCCGGATTAAAAAAAAAAAAAGGCAGCACTAAATAATCTCGTGAAATAACAAAGCTCAGAAAATACAACAATGCGAAACGTTAACTTGAAAGAAGAGTTGAGTGAATCGTCTGCTTTTTTACCTCGATGCAGATTAGAGGGGAAAAAACTTTTATCATGATGTCAATAATTTGGTATTTCCGTTATGACTCATTATTATTCGGTAATTATGATGCCATTATCCAGTAAGTATTTTTTCTTCGATATTTCATAATCAATGTTGTGGTTTCCGGAACCTATAAACTGAATGTTTATATTTTGAGAGGCAAACGCAGATTTCAGGAGTTGGCGGATTTTCGGTATTTGACTGTATAACAAAACATATCCATTATAGTTCTGAGTCAAAATAAAGAAAGAAGTTAAAGGAGGTTGAGTTAAAAGATAAAACTTTTAAAATTGGCAGAAAAAAAAGACCACTTTCTGAATTTTTATTCATGCATCAAGGATTTAAAATAATAATTATAACTGTCAAAATATTAAAAAAGTGATAAATAATTAATTTACTATTGGTCTGAATTTTCATATGTAAAACATTTACAAACACTGACAGAGAATTTTTTGGTTTTCTAATAGGAATATGTAAACAATTAACTCCTTCATTTAATTTAAGAAAACAAGTAAGAGGTATTAAAAGCATTCTTTTTATATGAAGAATGATACATGTCAATTTAAAAACTGCAATGATATATAATATTTTTGTCCAATGAATGTATCACAACACAATTCACCAGTTCTGTTTAATCAATATTATCATTCATGAAATTATATACTGGGAATAAAAAAAATAATGAGATCAAGAAAAATAAATTTCATGGCAGCTGATTTCATAAAATAACATATAAAATTACTTCAAAGCAGAATATCAGATTTTACTTACTCTCCATAGAAACACCATAAGTTTCTGTACTTTCCCCAGCCAATATTTCTTTTCCCTCAATTATAACAGGACTTTGATTATTTCGCTCAATATCTAAAGTTTCATCAGAATGCCACCTGATTGATTGTGAAGGTTGAAATGAATGCATTACATCCTCATCATCCGATAATATGCCATTTTTAAAGTTATTAAAATTATCATTATCTTCCTGACTTTTCACTTCATAGTTTGAACATGAAGAATTACTGATATCAGTCTTTGATCCATCATCACTATCAGTATATAAATGATCCATTGCAGGCATAATAGATGTTTCACAGTTTTCTTCTTGAGGACATGATTCTGAACTCTGAGACATTCTTTCCTCCCCATCGATAAATATTTCATTGCTACTCAAAGAAGCACTGGAATGAATGGAAGATGGACTGGCTATTTCATCTGTTAATTCTTCTTCAATTATTTCATTCTGAAGACAAAAGTTTCGATAAGGTTGAAAAGAAGGATATGCCGATTCAGGGGAATCAGATGGACTGGTAGGATATTTTCCAACAGCTGAAACAGATGGCAAAAAATTAAATCAAGAAATTTATATAAGTATATAATCAAAATAGGTACTTATTATTATAAATCATTCAATTACATAAAACATATTCCAAATTATATGATAGATTTCTGGTAAGAGACTTTAAATCTTTGGACTTGAAATAGCAGAGGCTTTGAAATGAATTATTCTTAATTAGATCATTTCAATGTCAACATTTCTAAAAAAATAATAGTTCTCAAAGAATTTTAAGATGAAATGAACGAAAAGATAAAACGAACCAAAATCTATATAAAATATGAGTGACAAGTTTAATTTTATCATCAAAAATACCATTAGAAATGAAAACTTTCTATTTAAATTACCAAGTCTTTTAATGTGTAGCTTGTGAATATTTTTCTGAAGAGGCAAATATTAGACACCTTTTACATACTTCATTAATTGTCAATAAACATTTGGGGAAAACTTCTCATCATTGATAAACTTACTTTGAAATCAGATTTATGCACATGTATAAAGGCAAATGAAAGACAAATTTGTATACTAAATTACAGTACTTGCTGCTGATTAAAATCCCTTCTGTCCAAGCATATTTGAGTTTACTAAGTAACCGAGTTTAATAGATGACAATTTGTGCATTGCAAATAGTGATATCAGTCTTTAATTTTTCAACTAAAATAATAATTGAAAATTAACACGAAAATCAAACTATTTATGCAATTTTGAAATTTGTTTATTAATTTTTATCAAAATATTTTCATAATTAAGTTCATCTTTTACAAACAAATATTCTGCGTTTATTTCATATTGACTAACAACAGTTTTAGACTGTAATTTTTTAATTTTGTAAAACTGCTAATAGCTTTCTTGATTAGCCCATTTCAATTCAAAAGTTTTCTTAGAATTTACAGTGCTTTTCTAGATTCGATTGATGTTGGCATACCATCACGATTTTCTATATAACTTTCACAGTCAGTTTCTGCAGTTCATTTAACTCAATATTTGTACAAATTGGCACATACTATAAAAACGAATCTTCATAACTTTCCTCACTGATGTCTTAAACATTAGCTATAGCTTTCAATTCCTAGGCTTCTTCTACAATAAAACTACATTTCTGAAAAAAGGTTTTAACTGATTTTAAGATATTAACCTCCTGCACTAATTACACACCCTGACCAAAGAATTAAAAACCCAACATCAATATCTTATTGGACCACCTTCTGCATGGATAACCGCTCTGATTCATTTGAGCATCAAGTCTACATGCTTCTGGAGTGCATTTATGTCCAGTGAATACTACGCCGGGCTTAATTTCTAAAATTAGAAGCACCGGAACCCTATGAAAGACCGTCAGCAAAGAAGAACAACAGTAAATAAATAAATAAAATGACTATTAAACTCATTAATAGCTATTTAATTAATGTTTATTAATTTTTATTTAAGCAATAATTATACATAGTTAATTATAATTTAACTGAAAATTGTTCAATAATTAATTATTATTTATTGAAATAATTAAAATTAAATTAAATGCAAAGAGATAAATTAAAAATTTAATAATTTTTAATATAATTTTATTGCTAAAAATAAAATTTTCGAGATAAAATTTCTACTGAAATTGTTATTCAGTTACATAAAAGAAGTGCTGCAGCCTTCTTATTTAGGGCTCTGGTGCACTCCAGTTAAAACTATGATTTATTACAAAAACTAAGAAGCGATGGGAAACGGTGAGCTCCGGCCCAGTTTAAGCTCTGATCATAGGGGGGGGGGAGTTCTTTTATCATCACAAAAATTAAATACACTTAAAGTGTAGCTGATGAAAATTCAGATAATGCTAAAAACAAAGCAAAAGAGAATGAGAGTGTGAGGGTATGAGTGGGTGGAAACAAAAATTGAGGGAAATCTTGGTGAGAGAGAACGTCTTCTTTGACCACGGCTCTCCGCTGATATAATTATAGCCATCAAATGGATGTATGTCAAGGGTAAAATGACTAAGGATGAATGTAAAGTTGCTGGTTACACTTTTCTCTCCCGTATTTGGTTACATTAGTGGATACTGTGGGGTGCTTGAGCAGTTTATCTCAGTATTTTACTTTTATTGTACTCGCTGTCACTTAACGCACATTTAAGAACACAAATTTTCTTTCCAGGGAGGATAACTAACTGTAACCATTGATAACAATACACTAGATACGATGGTATAGCAAGAAATTTATGCGTTCCTAAACAAACTCCACTAAATTTATTGCCCTTCTTAAAGGGAAAGGTTTCCGCATGCGAGTGAGGGGACTTTACTTGAATGTCTCATGTTCTCATGAGTTCGTATTTCTAGGGTAATAGAGTATTGCAGGGTGTGCTTATTGTTAAACTAAAATGTTAGGAATTCTAAATTTTTTCTCCTTGAAATTGTGGTTCAGTTTTATAAAAAGTATCAGAGCTCATCTTATTTACGGCTCCGGTGCCCTCTGGCTAGAACTGTAATTTAGCTTAAAAATTTAGAAGTACAGGAGCCGGGCTCCAGCGCAATTTAAGCACTGATACCACCCATTGGCTATGTAACTTTTCAGACTTTGTAAATTAGATGGAAGAGGAGAGTGCTGTCAGATGCGTCTTTTCATCACATCCCATACATTTTCTATGGGGTTAAGATCCGGCTGTCCAGTGGCCAGAGAAGTTGTCGGAAGACAGACTGATGTTCAGCGAACCAATTTTGAACACTTTTGGCACGATATACAGTTGGATTATCATCCATGAAGTATCTGTTGCTATCAGGGTAAAAATGCAACACTGCAGGGTGCACTTGATCTGCCAGTATATCTAGGTATCTCATGGTTGTTCGTTTACCTTTGAGGAACACCAGGGCATAACTTCCATGCTAGCAGAACATGCCCCATATCATGTTACTGCCACCAGACCCTTGCACAGTACAAGTAAGGCAAGGTGGATTCATGGCTTCATGGGGTTCTCACCAAATTCAACGTCTTCCATCAGTGCAAAATAAGGTTGTAGCGTGATTCATCTGACCACATTACCCGTTTCCAATCCTCAGATGTCCAGAGCCTTTTTTCCCAACACCACTGTACAAAAATTCTTGCATGTCAGGCAGAAACGAGTTGTTTTCTCGCAGGCACCTGACTATGCATTTCTATCTCCTGCAATTCTCTGCACATGGTTCAAACTGAAATCTGTTGGGAGAAGCCTTGGTTGATTATCTGTGTCAGCTGAAGCACAGTAAAGTCCCTGTTGGGAGGAACCTTGGTTGACGAGCTGTGTCAGCTGAAGCACAATAGAATCCCTGTTCTGCGATACACTTTGTGGGAGATGCCAGCCTACCACTCTCTTGGAAAACTGTGCTCGAACCACAGTTACGGCTTCAAGGGAAGGACTGTGGGTTCTGATTCCAACTTTTGAAAACCTTTGATATGGCTGCTTTAGAGAACACAGTGAGATTTGCTGTCTTCGAAATCGAGGCCTCTGCTAAACGGACACCAACAATACGCCCCTTTTTAAATGGTGAAGGATCTGTCGTTTTTCCCCATTTTACTTCATTCATCGTGAAAAACACTCTTACATCTTACTTATACTAGCATTCTAACTTGTGTAACCTACGCCATAAACAAATTTGCATACTTCATCCCTAGCACATATTCAAATGAAAATATCAAGGGTTTCTAATTTATTGGCCAATGTGTGTATAATATACATGGCTAGCAGAAATATTAACTTACTTATCTCCATCAAAGTGAATATGCATAAAATTCAATTCTGTTTATTATTTCTGAACATCATTTCCCTAACGACTTTTGAAACTCTTCTAATATCCTGGTTTAAAGGCTAAAATATACGAGCTGTAATTACAGGAAGTGGCAATATTGTTTTTCGAAAAGAGATTAGAGGTGTGTGTGCTGCACAGGTACAGTAGAAGTCCAGAAATCTGCAAAGCTTGGGATCAGAGGTTGTGCGGATTTTAAGATTTTGCGGATTTCAGGACAGAAAAGACAAATCATAATATTCACACTAAAAGTGGAAAATAAATGAAGCGTATTAGATACATTTAATTAAATTATTATATACAATATTGCAATAACTTATATGCGTTAAATTATTAATACATATATAAATTGATTATACTGTTCATTGTATTATATATACACAGCATCGAGGTTTGCCGATTTCGTCTCATGCAAAGATTTCCGATTTCGGATTCCGGTGTTAGAATCACTGTTGTTGTAAAATTTCCACAGCTTTTCTTTATTTTTCCGTATATCATACACAATCGTATTGCAATTCCATACGATTCTCCTATAAAATGCACCTATCTCCATCTTTTGCAGAATTTGCACTTTTTGCGTTACCGTCAATGCAACGTGTTTACGTTTTTCAACGTTGCAAGCAGTAAAATCATGAGTGCATTTCTTATCTGTAATTGTATTAAAAAAGGGCTGAAATTTAAAATATTCTTAATTTATCCACAAAATATCCGGATAAAAAAAGGCAGCACTAAATAATCTCATGAAATAACAAAGCTTAGAAAATACAACAATGTGAATCGTGAACTTGAAAGAAGAGTTGAGTGAATCTTCTGCTTTCTTACCTCGATGCAGATTAAAGGAGTAAAAACTTTTATCAGGATGTCAATAATTTGGTATTTCCGTTATAACTCATTATTATTCGGTAATATGATGTCATTATTTTGGTAAATTATTTTTTCTTCGATATTTCGTACTCAATGTTGCGATTTCCAATGTTTATATTTTGAGAGGCAATGTGAATTTCAAGAGTTGGCGGATTTCAGGTCGGTGGATTTTCGGTATTTGACTGTATCTAATTAGTAAAATTATTTTTTCAATTTCAGTTTGCTGTCCCATTTCAAAAGAAAATCAGTGAAAATACTTACTTGTCATCCACTAGTTTTTGTTGTTATGGTCAGTTAGAGGTAAATTCTTGATTCCTTTCAAACATCAAGATTTTCTGCTTTTTTTTCTTTCTGATAATACTCCATAATGTA